CAGTTTGACACCGGCACTGAAGATCAGCTCATTAGCTGTATTTCTGGTCTCATGCGGGCGCAGGCGCGCGACAGGCGCGCTCTCGTTAATGGGGTTGTTGCAGGCTGAGGCCTTGTGGGAGGAGAAAGGACAGGGCGTGACGGAGAGGGAAAAGACAAAAAAAGGAGAGAGAGAGAAAGAGAGTGACGCTCGGGGAGGCAAGGAGAGAACAAGAGGAGAATAAAAAGGGATGTTGCAGCAGCAGCGGTGGGACAAGACAGGATACAAGATAAGGATGTGAAGGACAAGAAAAGGACAAAAAGGAGCGCGAGCGGAACACGCTGGGCTGAAAGGCAGAACAACGCGGCCGGTGACAGGAAGAGTCCACGGAAATCACAAAAGCGGCATGGAGGCGTGCGCGGTGCTGCATTGAAACATTTTGTTTGACATCCTCCTGCATTTGCTTTTATTGCTCCACACATTCCTGCCTCGGTTCCTCTTTACAGCGAGCGGCTACTTGCTTCCACTTGAAATCGCAACACTACACTGCAAATCGACCAGTGCTAAGTTTGTGGACGGTGTTAAAAATGGACTGTCGGTGATGCAGTGACATCACTCGGGGCTTGTGTAGACGAGGATTTAACACTGATACGTTGTTAAAAAGGGCTGTCATCTGGATTCAACCCTGATTGGTATGAATTTGGAAATGAAATCACGCCCCTTATGTCATCGAAGTTCACCGGTGAGCTAACAGGCCAAATTAATTCGCCAATAATTAAAATTCCGTATCATGTGGACAATGCGTGGCAGTCGCATGGGCCACTTGGCCAATCATCATTGTAGTTTTTGTGATGTCACCTGGGCCACACGGCCAAGCGGGTTCATTTAACGTGGGATTGAACATGTTTTGGTCTAAGTAGATGTCGGCATCTGAAGAGTGATGAGCTGCATGTTGATTCAAACTTTAGTTTTCACTCTGCTTGAATTATGGTTCTGACTGAATCCCGCCGGGCCTGCGTGGGTTTTCTCCGGGTATTCCGGTTTCCCCCCCCACATTGCAAACACATGCATGGCAGGCTGATTGAACGCTCAAAATTGTCCCTACGCGTGAGTGTGAGCGCGGATGGTTGTTCGTCTGTGTGTGCCCTGCGATCGTCCGGCAAGCGGTTCAGGGTGTCCCCCGCCTACTGCCCGAAGACGGGCTGGGATAGGCTCCAGCACCCCCCGCAACCCTCGTGAGGATAAGCGGATCGGAAAATGGATGGATGGATGGATACTGAATCCCGCGTATGTGTGAACTTGTACGAGCCCTCTACCGCACCCGAACCATCCTATGAATTGCGGGTGGCCTCAGTCTAATGAGCGTCATTTGTCAACCGGAAGACAAACAATGTATTTGTTCTGCAAAATGTAAAAAAAATTCGATGATACAAAAAGCCAAGCGTTCTTTCTCCAATCTCGTCGACAAGGCGTCACCAACTAGCTATCCGAGTGCCGAATTGTGCAAACCTTTTGAGGTTTTGTCATTTGGCCATCGAGGCCGACAGCAAATGGCCTTGAGTATGTCACGTTAATTGTTTTGTGTCCATATTCTTTTTTTCATAGTCTGTTTTGCTGCCATCTGATTTTGATGGTGGCCCAAAGACTCAGCAAGACCGCGAAACATGGGAAAAGCCACCAGGTGGTGAATGCATCCAGCCAGGAACAAAATCCAGACCAGGTGTTGGGGGTCTTGTCAAATATGTCATGTCTAGTGTTGCCACTGCCTCCTGTGAGGAAAAACGCTGGAATTTTTGCATGTGTGGGTACTGAAAATGAATTCGCAACTTTCAGGAAAATTGTTATTTTGTAACACTCATTAGTGTTAATCTAAACAGTCAATTGTGTCATTATTACTGCACTGTCAACACTACATGTTGTTGCCCTAACATACTATTGAGTGTTGAACATGTAACACTTGCCTGAATGTTACTGTAACATAATATAGTGTGGCCGCATCTCGACAAGTTCTTGTGTTAAAAATGAACACCCCGGGGTGTTGAATTAACACCAGGAGATTTTCAGTGTACTTTCCACTCCGACAACATATTCCCACCTTCAGCCTTTTGTCTCTGCGGCTCGCCTTCCTCTCGGTGTCGACCCCGGCGTTAGCGCCGCGACGGTATCGCATCCAGCCAAGGGCATGAAAATCAAAACACGCGCACAAAACGATACACGGGCACGACATCGGCAATCCCACACAACGGCGTGTGTGCTTCTTCAGCCAACCCACACGCGCACCTAGAACTCGTCCTCATGTTGGCTACAGTCGACACCCACACACATCGAGTGGTGCGGCGCTCTGCAGGGCGAGCGAGAGGCGGATAAAAGTGAACAAATGCGATGGGGCCAAAACATGCGGATCTGCGGCAGGGAACTTTTCAACGCCCCCCGCCCCTCCCCTCCAAAAAAAAAAAAACCAGCATATAACACCAGTTATTCTTAATGGCTCCTGGAAAGTGAACTTTGTTTCAACTAAGATTTCGGAGCGGTTCAGTGTGACACTTCTGAGCTGCGCCGGACGCCAGGCAATTATACAACTGTGTCGCTTGGAGGGCGAAGAACATAACCAAATAGATGAAGACGAGTCGTTCCTCAGCTGAAGGAGGGCAGAGCGCAGAAAGGGCGCAAGAGGCGAGCAGGAAATCATCCAAGAGAGGAAGTGATGGAGGCCTGGCGGGTTTTTTTATTTTTATTTTTTGCGGGGGTGATTAATTTTCCCAGAAACACATTCGACGATAGTATTGTTTTTGCTTTTTGTTTTTTCATACCACTGGTAGTGTAGTTCATTGATCAGTGGCGCTAGAATTGCAAGCTGTTGAGAAATGGACAGCCCTCTGCGTCCTGTGTGGTTTTTTTTTTTTTTGTTGTTTCTTTGGTGACCAGTTGCAAAAATTGGGCGGTCATGGTTGCGTTTCAAATTGACTTTGGGCTTTGTCGTGTCGCGATTGGTCTTGTTACAAATGCGACATGCCAGCTCATTGTTGCCAGCAGAAGCTCCGCATTCATCTGGCCCGAATCCAAAATGCTCCGACGCGCACGTCTGCGGCGTCTTTCGGGTTTGGAACTAACTCCATTCGTGTACCTCAACCTTGGGTAGCTCCAGCCGTCGGAAAACTTTGCTTTGAGTCATGCTAATAGCTTCTTTCTCCCTGCGTCGATGCTTTTCATGCCATGTCATTCATTTGTTTGACGTAGGTGAAGGGTAGCGGAAAACGAAACAGCGCCACTCAATGTTGCTGACGTCCATCAACCAAAACGCACGTCGTATCGCGCCCGCTTAAGGGATATCGTAATTATCATGTGTCACCATCATGAAGGGACATGCCAGTTTGCACGTGTGGGACACGAATAAAGGCCCGAGGCACACCTACGCTACATGAGAACCAATAAAACAAAAGAGTGTGAAATATTACGTAACGTAAGCTAAAACTTGTGGAGCACAGGAGGAAGAGAACGAGGCACGTTTTCGTTGGACACGAAAAGTATGAATCAAATTCCGCCATCCTAAACGTTAAGGAGGCTGCGCGAGCCTGCAAGGTCACGTCAAGGTGAGCGCGGTGACGACCTGACATACGGTGCCAAGAAACGATGCCGCTGATAGGCGGGGCCGGTCCGGTGTAAAAGGACGCAGAGCCAATGAAATGAACAATCAAGCGATGAGTGGAAACACGAAAAAGCAGAGCGGGGGGGTAAGATCGCATCTTTGAGGTGCATCGCAACTAGTTGTGTGAGTCGGGCCCGTTAATCCGACAGACGCGAGGATGCGTTGAGGAATTAGCACATCCCTAACAAGTGGCGCACACTAACGAGTAAGCTGACAGGCGGCCGACATAACGAGGGGAGGCACAGCGGAAGAGGTCGAGGACAAGGACGTGCTATGACACACGTCCTCACGGGAAACGCAACCAAAACATTGCGACTCCCTTCATGGAGTTTGTGTGACATCACCAACGCGTATGACACACGTCTTAGGAGGAAACGCAAACAAAACATCGCGACTCTCTTCGTGGAACTTACGTGACATGGCCAAGGCGTATCTGCGGGGGCGAAGCCAGAAATTTTCTCGTGGGGTCACTTCATTATTCGCTATCCTTAAAGGTGCTTTTTTAATTATTATTATTATTATTATTATTATTATTATTATTATTATGAGTGCATGCACAAGATTGGTATATGTGCGCATTTTTTTTTCATGAAACCATGAATGTGGATGGTATGATAAACAATGACTTCTCTTCCAAGTTGTTTGTTTGCTATGGTGAGAAAAAATTATTTTGATTGACGTCGACCGAGAATTTACAGATTATTTACCGTTAGCATTCAGAACAATTTATTCTTTAAACCTAGTTATTAAAAAATAATTATAATAACTTGAGGCAGAGTATCAAGGGGTCAAAGGACACTGTATCCATGTGAAAATGGGAGAAAAATCACAGATATCAAAATGTTCCCCTCCACAGAGTGACAAGGGGTGGTCTTGGCGCCCCCCTAGCTCCGCCCCTTGCGTATCTATGTCTCTTTTGCCGTTGGGTCACCAACTTTACCTCATGCCAAAGGTTCGCATTTTTCATTTTTCCAGCACGTCCAGCCTCACCGTCCGCCCCCGAAAGTTATCCCGTCCGCCCGTTGGACGCAGTCATCATTATGAGAGGCTATCGCCATGGCAACGGGGCAGCGGAAGTCCATGCCTCAGATCTGAATATGATTTACAGTCAACGCTTGATAGCGGCGATATATAATGATCTGGATTTCACAATGACACTTAGCTGGCCTGAGTGTTGCCGATCGAATGGCGCTTCTCTGATAAACGATTCATATGAGAAGAGTTTAGGGTCCTGCTTTACACGAAAAACCTTGCCATGGAAGTAACATAATTTCAACTGGAGGAAACTTGGCCACACGTCAGACAACGGAGCGAGTCGAACGTCCTCCCGTGGCAAGAATGACTTTGAAGCATTGCCAATGCAAAACGCGCCTACCTTGGCCCGGATCTGGCCCGACGTGGAAACTTTGCGGATGAGCTTGTGCGACGTCTCCTCTTGCTCGCCGTCGCTGTCGGACGACTCGTCTCCCGCGTCCCCGGCCTGCGTAACCACAAGAAAGTGCAGATGACGGGCTGCCATTTTGGCTCTCGCCGCCACACGCTACGTTTGAGCCTGGCATAAACAACATTTAATTTGGGGTTTTCAAGTGCGGCAAAAGCATCTGCACCATGTTATTAGTCTGATTGGCACCTTTTATTTGTTATATCATGTGCCGATGCGATGTCATGCTCTTAGCATTTAACTATAACACTGTTGTAGTTTTATTCTGCAGTCAAATGCCAGAATATGAAAGTCTGTTCTGCTTTACTTGAAAAAATAAAAGTTCAAGAAGTATATCATGCTGTGGTCTCTCATTAGGCTTGAAGAACATTTTTGTAGAGCTACGGGAGGCCAATTTCAACCTTCATCATGCATCATAGAGAACTGTCTCGAATATTTACTATACATGCACAGACTTGAAAAACCATCCACTAGCAAAACTGGAAACACCGTGAATAGCTCTCTGGAAGCGTCATTCAAAATTCAGTGTTACAATATGAACCGTTTCTCGCTTCCTGGGGAAGCAGTCAGTGAGTTTTCTCAAAGTGCCCCTTGAAATCCAAGTCTTAACTTACAAGAGGTGTCCTCTCGGCATCCGCCTGGGCCGACTCGCTCGGCTCGGCCACGTACAGGACGTTGGGGTTCAGTTTGGAGGCCATGGCGCCGGATGGGGTCCGCTCGGTCAAGCTCGATCCCTCACCGACTGCAGAAGAGGTGACCAAATCAAGCATCTCACTTTTACTCTCTGGCTCTCTCTCTCTTTCTCTCTCTCTCACACACACACACACACACACACAAGCGCAAAGTGCATGTATTGTGGTTAAGTCAGCTGACAGGCATCAATTCACGAGGGAGTGTAAAACCCCAGCAGGAACGCAGACTGCTTTAATGCTGCACTTCAACACTTTGCAGAATCTTGCAACATTCTCCTCACATATCGAACAAAGACACACACACAAACCTTTTTTTGTACAGCAAGTTCCTCCTTCGTTGATCTACAGAACGGCCCTTTGGGATGGCGACATGCGCGGCGGTAATGATTATGATGGTGATGATGACGATGGTCAAAGATGGGAGAAAAATGACGCTCGTTGCGATGTAGCCCGGCAGGTCCGCGCGCGCGTTCGATCCCCCATCCCGCCCTGCACATCGAAGGCAAGCGGCTCGGTTAAGTGGCGGAATCAAGCCCGCCGCTTCGGAACCGCCACCGTCCGTCGAACGGGATCCTTCACTTCGACAACACACCGCGGAACGGAGGGCGCAGTCGGCCGGCTTACCTTCCCGCCGGCCTGCCGCGCGCGCGAGCGCTCCTTGGCCGGTTCCGAGTTCTCGCCGCCGGGGCCTCTCCGCCACCACCTCCACCTCCTCCTCCTCCTCCTGCGCTGGCGCTCGGCTTCGCAGCCGCGGCGGTTGCTCGCGGTGCCAGAAATGAGTCGGATCAGGAAGGCAGAGCGGAGGCAGGCGGGAGGGGAGAGAGGGACGAACGGTGTGGCAGTACAGCGAGGCGGCAGGGCGGAGGAGGAAGGAGTGAGAGACAGATCAGAAAGCCTCGGTTGTTGCGGTTCCGAGGTTAAACTGTTGAGAGCGCACGCGCACCCGCGCAGCCCAGCAATCAGATGCAAATGCACGGGAAGGATTGTGCGGTGAGCAATTATTATGAACGCTCGCGGTGACGTGCATGCGGTGAGGTGAAGTTCATGACTGCTGAGCCACTGACTTCTTTTTGGAGTTGGAGATGAAAATATGAACCCGCCGTGGAAGATCCGCATGTATTTCAATGTTGATCTTCACTGAAATGTTTCCAAAGCTTTAGTGCTCTAATCCAGGCATAAACATACGGCCCGCGGGCCGGAACCGGCCCCCAAGGAGGTTCGATCAGGCCGGCAGGACCATTTAAAAGTGAAAAAAATGCATGAAAGACACAGAATGAATATTTTTAATACGGTGCAATTCACGGATTATCCGCTAGGGGACACACTGTTTTGATCAGAGTAGAAGACAACAGCAGTCTCAAGTCTGTCACTGAGACAGACCCAACACAGCAGACGCTATCAAGGATATGTGAATACTTTATTCTTTACGTATTTAATAACACTCTCCTGAGTGTGTAAGGTGTAGGCAGGAATTACATTTTGATTTTAAATGCACATCTGTAAATGGTTTAAAAATTCCTTTCTTTATAAATCTCGTTTAATCTTAAAGTGCATTACTATGTTTTTCAATACCAATTGTTAAAGTTTTGTGCCTTTGTACAATCAATGGGATCAGTTGCAATGCATATATGTGAATGAGAAAAGTAAATTGCACATTTGTCCAAAGACATCTAAGGTGTTTCATGAAATGTTTTGTAAAAGATATGTTCATTAAATTTCAACATTTTCCTTATGTTCTTGTGCTTCTTCAGACCAAAACGAGGGAAAGACATGATATTTTGGGTATTTATACCATAGTATGGTATAATTTGAATGGTCCGGCCTACTTGACATCTACCGAGGTCGTATGTGACCCACAATGTGAAATGAGTTTGACACCCCTGTTCTAATCAATTCCACATACGTGATGACAAGAAAAACAAAACAATATTTCATATGAAGTCAAATTCGTTCTTGTTGCTTTATTGCTGATCGCTCTTATATTAAAACAGCATTAGACCATTCGTTATGATTTAATATTCTATGAAAGACCCCAATTATGACATTATTCACAAGTATGGTATCATAACTACATGTCTGATGTTATCAACAAACCGATCCGTGTCAAAACTGGTCACGAAATCGACACGAGTTACCGCAACATAATACAAAACATGTCCGGGGACTCTCGGTTCAAATTGGCGGCTCGCTCTGCACGCCGAGGCTCCCTCTAGTGGTTATAAGACATACCCCTATGGCATGGTGTCAAACTCAATATCCGGCCCACCACATTTTATGTGGCCCACGAACAAAAAAACAATCGCGTCAACTTCCATGATCCTTGCCAAAATCTGTACCGAAATGTCAAAATGTCATTAATGATGTCGGGATTTTGCAAAAAAAAAAAAAACTTTTTTTTTCTAACCATTTTACGGTAACTTCAACAAACTATCATGCTTCTGATCCGTCAATTTGTTGTGTGCATGTAAAAATTCTACGAGACCATGAAACATTTACATGCTTTCACAGTCTTAACGGCCCTCTGAGGGAAGCTGTAACTACAAGGTGGCTTGTGCCAAAAAAATGAGTTGGACACAACTGGTCTATGGCAAGAGTGCCATGCTTCTTCAACGCATTTGGTCAATGGAGCTCAGCACTCTTGCGTGTCAAAGCAGCACAGCACTTACTAGGCCCCGCCGTGCATCTTCACTCACTTTTCTGGCTGCTCGCGAAGACTAAATTTGTCACACACATTCCTTCGAGATATTAGACAGACTTTTGAACGTCAGCATTTGCAACACGTGTGATAGCTAATTATGTGGGTGTTGTGTTCGCCTCCATTCTGCATACAGTCAACTCGTGAAATTGCAAGATACTACTCACTCGTGTGACACCCGCGCGAGGACACACACATATGCACACGCACACGCATTCATACATACACATACTGTGCTCAGGTGACAGCGTTCCTCCATTCTACTCCATCCCGTGGTTGCCCTTAACAACAAAAAGATGACGCAAGCAGCGGGAGGAGGTGATGATTTTCACAGCATTCCAAGGTTTCCTCCTTTTGGTGCAGAGCTAGTGAGAATAACAACCGTAGTCCTTTGCAGATTTTTACGCTGCTAACGAATACAATGAACTGTCATGGTTATTCTGACTCCATCAGGGGTAATTTTAGGATCAGAGGTTTAGGGGTGCTGAGCTCCTTGGACCATGCGTTTGGTACGTGGGCCTTCAGTTGGGGCTCACCCGACTGTATACATCTCCTAATAGCACCACTATCACAATAACGGCATTGTACTGTACATAACCCTTCATAAATAATACCAAATATTTTACATGTTGTATTTTTGTTCAGGAACAAGGACTTCAGTACTTTGAACAAGGAGTCATTCAAAATCAGAAGTGAACAAATGACAGTCTGCTCGGAAACTTTTACCGGGCATCCTGGTGTTGGAGGCTAATCGCAACTTGCCTAGTTGCTCCTCTCTTCGGGCAGCCACGCCACCTAAAGGAGACAAGTAAAAACACAGCAATAACGATCAACTCACAGAGAAACAAAACCAACCCCAAAGAGATTTCGACATTTGGTTTGGAGGGGGTATTTTAAAAGCACGCTGCATACCAACACGCTAATAGCTAGCAAGCACGTATAATGTAAATAAGGAGCTAAGCATCAGTTGTAGTCATAGGAGTGACCTTTTCACGTACATTTTGAAAGGTCGTTTATAGGCCACGGGCAACGAGGGCTCATCAATTAGCTAATTGGCATTTCGGTGAAAGATGAGAAGTGAAGTGTTGTAGCAACAGAGCTCATTTGTTATGTGGCCCCTGTGTGCTGCTGTGCTGCCACCTAGTGGTGCCGTACGTCACTCCGCTCAGCGTGGAGAAGTTTGAAAAGGGCACCAACGCAGCGAAAGTGACAGATCAATTATTAAAAGGAGTCACATGTTTTCCCTTTTGATCAAAGGGACGGGGTAATTGCCGTGAACGCTCGTGAGGCAGAGGAGAGGACAGTCTGCTCGGTAGATTTGCATTTATTTCGCAACGGCCGGTGTGTCGATCGTGTCAGAGTGAATCCGTGGAAATGCTGAAAACTAGGAGGGGGAAGGAAGACGCCCACTCTCGTGTCATCTATTCAAGCTATAAATACCGCTGTGAGGCGGCCGGATGAGCTGCATTTTTGAGTCATCTGCTTGTAGCGGTTAAGTTGATCCACAAGTGCCAGCCAGGCTGCACGTCAGCACTTGATGGAATCCACGAGGACAAGTCCAAAACAATAACGCAACAGCGGCACACGTGCAAGCAGAGGGCGGGGGGGGGGGACAAAGAAGCTGCTGTGTGCCGGACTGGTCAGCATTGTATCGGTTACCGTGACAACACGAGATTGAAGGAACAAAAAAGGTGAGAGCGAGCTTTTTACAAACAACAGCCGTTCGAAACAATTTAAACACAAAAAGTCTTCCGGAAGATTCCCAAACAATGGACCGGAAAGGACTGGGCAACCATCAACTGGTTTTCCACTTGCATGCGCAGTAGGGCAGCGGATCTCGACACGACACAGCATCTCGCTTGGTCACTTCCAGAAATGGAAGAAGACGGAATCCAAGCTTCTGTCTGCAACGTCTTAACTGCAATATATCACCATCGAGTCTTGTCCCAAACGGAGGCCTTGAGTCGCCTCCATGGCAACAACTGCTGGTCTAGTCATGTGACATGGAAAGCAGCCACCAAGGCAGGCACCGTTACGGACACACAAAACGAGTCCACACGGTCGCGGCTCCAAAGCTTCCGTCTCTACTTGCCCTCCGCATTTGACTTTGATGGTTACTGTACATTGTGGGATGCGCTCCTTTACTGTTGTCTCGTCATTTTTGTTGCCTCTTGTAGTCAAGAAAGTAACAGCAGGCGACCTCATTTTGTCACTAAAGGGATAAGACGCATGACATACAAATTGCACACTTAACTCACTGCTGACAAAACGTTGGAAGAGCTCTTGGTCGGGAATTCCATCAGCCGCGTTGGTCTCAATATAGGACACACGCATTCACATTCGCTCTTGCTTGTCTCACCATAAAATGACTGCAGGTCGTGGGAAGCGTGTGCGCGCTTTTATTTGGACTCATGACTTGGAACCCTCAAGCGTCCGCAATACGGACATGAGAAAAAAAAGCCCTCCAAAATCCCGTGTCACGCAGACAAATTAATAAAAAGGTCAAAGGGGGGAAAAAAGGACAACGGTTAGATGCATCGTAGTCAATCATAGTGCCCCCTAGTGGCATTCAGCAACATGACGGATGACAGTCCAAATTAAAACAAAGAGGACAAAGTCGACCAGTGAGAGTGTGACGCGCTTTTGTGACAAGACTGCAGCACTGATCCTGAGGACTTTCAGTTTCAGGAGAGAAGGACGGATGGGCGCTGATGACAGCCTGATCAAAGTTGACTTTTGAGTCGGCCAGCAGTCTTCCTTTTGAGCATCCATGACACCGCCTTCCTCTTGCCCTTTTCTAGAGACCTTTCATCAATCCCAAATACGACTCCCCGCGGTTACCGCGTTCCTGCGAACGAGCCCATCGCACGTCTGGACCGAGATCCGGCGGGGCCCGGAGAGAGCTTGGTGTTT